TTATATAATTCTTAATATTATTTTACTCTCGTTATTGTTTTTGAAACAGTTACATATTTTACTCGTGAGTTCGTTTAATATATAAACCCCACGCTCAAAAGCATACGCAAGAAGTATACGCGTTACCGTTTGCTACTGTCAGGGGGTTTATGACACAGTCGTACGAATCATTTGCTATTTTTGAATTGAAGAATTTTTAGTTCACGATCAGCATATTTCTTAGCAAAAACTTTTTCTTAGTTAAAACTTTTTTCCTTCCCGTTCCGTATAACAGTAACAAGCGTGTCATAAACCCAGTTTATCGAAAGGCAAGATAAAAATTGATAGTTAACTTTTTTTTAAAAATAGAAGTTCAGTCCATCATTAGACCTAAGTACGATGTCGCCGCATTTCCTCTTTAGAAAAAGCGCACCAAGAGCGCAGTAAGAGACATCTTGATTCCTTCTTGAATTAGTAATTGGTTAATCGGTTAATTATCCATTACTAGTAATGAGGATCATTCAAAATTGAAATCGATTAGACTTCCAATGGTCGATTTCTAAAAACAGATTCCTAAAATTCGATTTATTGAAGTAACGAGTTTGATAAGTAATTCAATCCTCAGTCATTTTAACATTAATTCGCGCCAGTACAGTATAACAGAGTCGTATCAGTTATTGTTATATTATATGTACATTGTTATATATCATTCAGTTGAAATAAATAATCGCGTTGAAGTCAAATTAGTTTCGTATTACATTGAAAACTAGACACCGTTACTACGGGTCTTAGCAACATATTTTGTAATTCGCTTAACGTAAAGTAAGAATGAGTATTTAAAATAAATGCAGTCAAATAAAATAGAGATGCAATAGCTGTATGTGAATGACATCCACATTTATTATGTCGACTGTAAGAGTTCAATTTAATCATAATATTATTTTTATAATGTATAAATACAATAAAACACACAATGGTCCACCATTTAGAAAATTATTTGTAAATATTTACAGAATTGAATAATGAACAGTTTTCGGAAATTTGAGCAGTTTCTAAGTGTTTTAATTATGATATTAAGTGTTGAAATAAAAGAAACAAATTTATTGGAAGTTTCAAGAAATTACTCCAACTTACGAAAACTATTACCGACGCTACAACATGAGAGACTGTGCTGGAATAATCGATTATTATTCTTAATACATTCCTTTACGAAGATATAAAAGTTCTCACAATATACGAAGCATTAAAATTTTATTCCCAACAAAGCACAAAAATACACAACTAATGCAAAGAGTATTTTCATAGTTTTTTTATTGGTAAGCTATAAAATGATCGTGTAAAAGTTTAGTTCCCATAATCATTAAAAATAAATAATGCAAGTGTATATAAATAATTATTATTTTGTAAATAACCTGCAAAGGGCAGGAAATTAGAGAGGTAATCAATTTATAAAACTTCTATATTGAATCATGAAATTTGGTCTCTATTTCCAAAAATATCTCCCTCATTTCTGGACCGCTCAAAATTGCCTGCAAATATAAATAAAAAACTGTGAGAACTTTTTCAATAATGTGTACAGTTCATAGAACTTTTATTCCCAATATGATCTGATGACAATTTAACGTATTAGTTTACACACGGTTTCTTTTTTAAATACGTTCCATTAAGGTTTGCATTTATATGAAATTAAATTGTTTTTTTAAGCATTGAGCACAATAATGAATGTAATAACAAAAACCACAATTAAAAGGTCAAACACTTTATTTCTTAATGAAGGTATGTACTTGGGATTTGGGACATACAAAAATTCGTATCATCTAAGCCTGAATGTACATCTCCTTCGGCAACGCTTGTGATTAAAGTACCCCTTCCAATACCCAACTAAACCTCTGCCTAGGCAAACACGTTGTAATCGCGGTGGTAGAAGCGTCGAAGAGGGACCACAGAACATGGAATGAATCATCCAGTTGGAGAAGTCGTGTAGAAAAGAAGACAAAATAAGATGATTCAAGATAAAAGGTTTGAAGCTCATAACAAAATTTAGATTCGTCGGATAAGATTGTGGGTGCATCTATGCAAATATAAAATCTCTGACACCAGACAGTAAGAGATAAAGAACAACCGAATCGGTTGAAATGTCTCGCTTCTCAGGTCTTTTCCCTTTTCCGCCTCGCACTAATAGCGGTCACAATGATTGTATTTTATCGATGCGATAACACTACTAATCCGGTACTGGAATTTGCAGCAATCTCAGTATTTGTAGTGATAACAGGGGCACCAAAGATATTAGTAATAGAGTTATACAGTAGGAATAGTAGCAGGAAAAGTAGTAGTAATAAATATTCAACAAGAAGAGAGTAGCGCAAGAGTATATACCAGTAACAGTAGTAATAGTAAGAGCAATAGTGGTAGGAGTAGCAGTATAGTAGTATCCGTAGTGATAATTGTAATAATTATAATGTAATAGTGCTAGTTTTTCTAATGTAACGGATAACTATTTTTGTAATCTACTGTTATAAAATGAAATTGAGATGAGAACGTTGGAATATTTCGGTAGATCGCGTTTACATAAGCGATTATAGTTCACCAACTCACTCTATATATACTCACACACCATGAGAGATCAGCTGAGAGCTCCGTATTTCACTTACTTTTATTTTTTTTTTTAATTATAATGAATTATAGCCAATAATCAGATTTAGATCAAATCTGCAACATTCATTGGCATTTCATCAATGTGAGTGTTATAGAATTGTTCAATATCTTTCAAGGTTCGTTTGTCCTCTTCTGTTACGAAATTAATAGCCACTCCTTTACGACCGAAACGACCACCTCGACCGATTCTGTAATGTGATAACATTTATAACATTAGATATTTATTTTTGTACATTGCATGTTAAGCGAATTTCTTATTATAATAATAATTTAAAATTCATAAAGTTCCATAGATTATTTTCAATTTGTTTAAGGAATAATGCACAAAATATTACGTTGTACGTAAGCAGATTCATTTATATATTTTTATTGTATATGTATGCAAAGAATGTTTGTATTTTACCTGTGAATGTAATTTTCACGATTGGAAGGTAAATCGTAATTGATGACAAGTGAAACCTGTTGAACATCAATACCACGTGCTAAAAGATCAGTAGTTATGAGGACACGGGATGATCCAGTTCTAAATTGCCTCATAATGAGATCTCGTTCTTTCTGTTCCATATCTCCATGCATAGCAGAGACTGTGAAGTCGCGAGTGCGCATATTTTCTGTTAACCAATCTACTTTACGTCGCGTATTGCAGAAAATAACTGCCTGAGTAATACTCAATGTGTCATATAAGTCACAAAGAGTTTCGAATTTCCATTCTTCACGTTCGACGAAGATGAAAAACTGTTTAATACCCTCCAGTGTAAGTTCTTCTTTTTTAACCAAAATACGAATTGGATTTCGCATAAAGCATTTAGACACTTCTAAAACATCTCCTGGCATAGTAGCAGACAACAATATAACCTATAAAATAAAAATGTTTACTTTTGTTTATTAATGTCCACTAATTTACTATACTAGAATAAAATAATATTACACTAGTTGTCTTTACAAAATATATATTTCTAATTAATATATGTATGTTATAAAATATTTCATGTCAAATTTGTAATATATTGGTACTATTCAAAATTTTTAAAATATCCATAAAAAATATTAACAGTACAATATACTACTGTATAATATAGTCAAACACATTCTTATGTGCAAATTTAACCAGAATGATCTCATCTTACAAAAACTACTACATTTCACATCATATAATTACATATTTATAAAAAAAAAGGATATATTTCAATAATTAAGTTATAATCTACCAGAATATAAATCATACCATTACTATAAAGATGGCTAGAAATTTCACGTACCTGTACTTCCTGAGGTAATAATTTGAATACATCATGAATCTGATCCTTGAAACCACGAGAGAGCATTTCATCAGCTTCATCTAGTACAAAGAGTTTAATGCTACTGGCCCGTAATGCCCGTCGACTAATCATATCATAAACTCTACCAGGTGTACCAACTACTATATGAACACCATGATCCAATTTTCGCATATCTTCACGTACATTGGTACCTCCAATGCATGCATGGCATTCTGCATGCATAAAATCTCCCAAAGCAATAACAACTTTCTGGATCTAAAAAATAAAAAAAACAAACTCAATAAAAATCTATTTATTTTATACATGTAATTATTAATATTATGACTATATAAGTACTCACTTGTTGAGCAAGCTCACGAGTTGGGGCTAGAATCAAGGCTTGACACTCTTTGATGTTAGTATCAATTTGTTGTAAAATAGAGATTGAAAATGTAGCAGTCTTGCCAGTTCCTATCAAATATTACATAGATTAGAAAATAAGCTGTATTACTTTTATAGTACAATACATATCTTCTAATTTCTTACCTGATTGTGCCTGCGCAATGACATCATGTCCTTTTATACATGGTAGAATGGCACGTTGCTGAATTGCAGATGGTTTTTCAAAACCATAAGCATAAATACCACGTAGTAATTCCTCCTTTAGAAGCATTTCATCAAAGTTGTCCACAACCTAGTTTATGTATAAAAAAATATGTAACAATGTAAAATTATGATAAATACAAATAATTTTTTTAGAAATATTAACTATTTAAATTTTAATGTGTAACTTTTAAACATTAGGTCATGCATTGTAGCTGTTAACTTACAAGATCCCAGTTGGATTCGATGACTCCATCGGGGTCCATGCCAGGGGGACCATCGTATGTCTGTTGATCACTTTCACTAGGACCATTTTTGGAATCTCCTGCCCATTGATCATCATTTCTGAAATATAAATGAGAAATTTATATATAGTTTCTACCTTAGAATATTGAATACCTAGTAATGTGTACATAATTTTATGAATGTAAGTTAAATACATAAAATAATAGTTATTTCATTTGTGGTGATTTCTTAACTATATACAATTACTGTAACAAAAATTAACATTTACATAAAATTATGAAAGCAGAATAGTGGGAATTTCCTACTTTAACGACTTTGAAATATAAAACTCAACATGGTATTTGAATTTATCAATAAATTAAAAAAATATTTTGTTCTAAATAATGTAAAAACTTTTTATTAAAAAATACTGAATTTTATACAAATGTAGCAATATGCTATTTAGAATAGATCATGAAATAGATATGGTGATGAATTTATCGATGACTTGATAGATGCATTGACAGTGACTCACAGGAAAGCATGCCCGAACAGGTAAGTCATGCTTTAGTTATAAAAGATATAATAACGATAATTTTGGACAGCATTTTAAAAACTATTTATTTTGTTTCGTTTCTTCTCTCTAAATAGAAGAAATTCATTTTTTTATTACGTAATTTCAAATGCAAAATAAAACGTGTTTGTACGAGTAACATGCAATTTCCTTGATCAAAATTAAAATACATTTGCGAAGAATTTCAGTGTCTAGTGTACACATAATCAAAGTAATTTTAAATTGTAACAACACCGAGGTTACAGAAAATTAGCAGCAATGAAAGTTCAACATTAATTTTACGAACAATGTGACAAAAACGAATGCACGCCATGTTGTCAGTCTCGTGTCCATGCATTCGTTGATTGCTGCACTATTTTTTAAGAATATATCATTAAGTGTCGATGTCTAACCGTACACAGCGCAAGATTTATAAAAGCACAACATAAACAAAGAATTTGCTAAACGTAAGAAAGCAAGTATCTTTAGCGATTACGTATGAAAAATCGAACTTACCTTCGCTCAGACGTATGCGACATGTTCCACTCGCGGTAGGTCGACGGAAAGGACGAGTTCCTATTGCGTCACAAGGAATATTCTTATGAATGCCGCACAATGGCGCTGCGAACGGTCTTCAAAATTTTAGTGAACTTTTTCAGTAATTGAACTTTCAAGATGGATTTTCAACAGTTCGAGTGCTTGAGAATATAAGTTTTTAAAAGTGTGTAGCAGCTTTTACATAATTTCTTGGGTTTTATGTTATTTCCTTTCCTAAATGTTTATTGCGCATAAGGGAAGTACGTCAATTACCCATAATCCTTTGTGACCTCTTAGTGGGGTGTGAGGCAAATGCAAATATATTGTTGATCATGTACACGTATTTATTTCTTATTTTTAATTTTTTCAAAATCAATACACACCTCTTTTTCTTAGAATAATATATTTTTCTTTTTTAATATTTTCTTTCATTTATTAAACTAAATAAATTTTAT